ACTCACGTGGTGCATAGAAAAAATAAACAAGTCCCCAACAGCAAGAGACGTCGACAACAATCAGACCTACTGTGAAATCGAGGCCAACAAGGGCAAGTTCAGTGCCAAAGTCGCATTCCCATTGATAAAACTTAAATCTTGACATGTGTGGAACTACCAACGATTATTGCGCCTCAGCTTGAACCGAGTGCTAATCCTAAATCGTTGATACAAAAGATACACAGCTTGGAAAAACGTGCTGAATCCCGTCGTGTATTCTCTTTGATTCAGTGGTTCTGTTCGAGGATCATAAAACAAGGGGCTGAAAGGCCTTACAGATTATAGAGCCCCAGTGTGACTATCTTCAAACTATGCGACCAAGGTGGACTTCGGGGCGGCTAAACGAATCGCAGTATTGAACTCTTCTCAGTGATGACCTTGATCGGGAGCGGCACGGTAGCGGGGAAATTTAAGAGAAGGAGCGTCAGAAAAAGAGTCACCTGGAGAAACTTCTCCAACATTTCCGCCATAACCTCGTATGGATTGACATCGGGAGGTGAATCGGAGGCAGCATCAATAAGTTTCGATACAATTTCACCAGGCATTGGGCTGAGGTACCATAAATGGTAGGCTGAGTGAGTATGTCGAACAAGTCAAACGAGGTCACCACTATAAAGGTTCTTCCCTATAACAAGCTGCCCACCAGTGGTTCATCCACATGTACGTACAAGCTTTGGGTGATGTGTGAACCTTTGAGAATTGGCGCCGACAACCCCAGGCTTCGGAATGAGAAACGCTGGCATACAAATGCATGTGCACATTTGCAGCAAAAACATGGGAGATTCGTGCATTTCGAAACAGAATTAAATTGCGCCGCGTTGACATCTTCCTCTAAAATTTCCAATAACAAAAACACCTATGTTGGATGCATGTATCGCCAATGGGTTCTATTGTAATGAATAAAGGCTGAAGTTGACATCTATCTAACTTAGCTAAGTACCTCCGGCAGTTTCATCCGATGGCTTGCCGGAGGGACTTACGGGCTATGTCCACCCCGTGGCCCATGAGCATTAGGGATTTTGCTGGGCAATATTTTAAAACCCACTAAGCCCGCCCGTTTCTGGACGTTTTTCGCGCTTCTTTCGATTTTTGTGATGGCCTCGCCAATTCGCATCCATCCGTCTCATCAACTCCCCTTCATCCCTGAAGGTTGAGCTTCCAAGTGGCCAGGTGAGAACCAACCCATCCAGATTATGTGTTATACGTTCACCAGGCTGTCCACAATATTCGATACAGGGGCACTGTAACAACGGATACACAGGTGTTCTTATGGCATAATCAACTGATATGGCGACTGTATTTTATGCACCTCCCATCGTTTCAAAGATGTGGAGGGTCATACAGAATGAGCCCGAAAACCCAGGTTCCTGATGCCATTAACAAAAGCCCAGCTTCCCAAACAGCTAGTGGCCTCCCTCCATCATGGAGGCCACTGTGTGATTCTCCAGCATTTGCCGCTCATTTTGGCACGCCGCTTGTGGGGTGACGTGCGAGTGAGCGGCCTTGTAGTGAGCTTGCAAAAAAAAGCCACTTTTTCCTAATCCTCATGGGCAAGGAGGGTGACTTAGCACATAAGTCCCTCCTTCGGAGGGTCCCTGCGGGACGGCGTCCCCCCTCCGAATAAAGAGGGACTTAGTTAAGTTAGACATCTATGTAGGCGGGGTTAGAGGGGGTACTGATTTTTTTGTTCATTGGACCTTTCGCACATTCATACTTGAAGTACGGAAGCCCACAGACGACAACGACCGCGCCATCGCGCCATCGCGCCAAACAATAGTATTTTTTGCGGATCGTTCAAAATATTTTCCCACACATGCACATTTCTTTTGTACAAAACACTATCTACATAAAAAACAATATTACCAGCCCCCTCCGGCGTTCCCCATTATAAACATCTGCCGGTGAAAAAGTACCCATCCAAAGGTATTGGTGCTCCGTCCAATGAACGGTCCTCAGCGGCCTTTGGATGGTGTGTGTGTGTACGTACCAAAAACCAGTCATCGGGTGGAGTATAGTCCACCAGATGGCTGGTCTTGACCGGCCGTCGAACGGAGGTCACTCCTGTCACCAGTCTTACTGGCCATCAATTGGAGTGTGCACTCCGCCGATGACCGATGACCGGTAACGACTAGCCATCGAGCGTATGTACTCCAGCTGATGACCGGTCTTTAACTGGCATCAGATGATCAGATGGAGTACTGGGTATGCTCAATGACTGGTGTTTACATGCCAGCCATTGAGTGAGGCATAGGGACCTACAAGATCCACCCGATGACCAGACACCTTTAATCAAGTCGAGTATCTTTATGTATTTAAGTATACCATTCAATCAGGGATCGGTAGAGACCGGTCATCAAACTCCACCAGATATTGGTCGTTGGGCCCAATGGCAGTCCGTGGGAATATGTACTTCACTTGATGATCGGTAAAGACCGCTCATCGGGTGGGGTACATATTTGAACTCAATCCGATGCCGAGAGCGGCCGACCATCCGGTGGAGTGTGAACTCCACTTGATGGCCGGTACCTACTCCATCTGGTGTAGGTCAATGGTCATTGGCTGGAGTACACCGGTCATTGGCTGGAGCTCAGCAGTCATCGGCTGGAGTACACCAGTCATTGGCTGGAGTACACCGGTCATCGCGCGGAGTACACACTCCAATCGATGGCTGGTAAAAGACTGGTCAACGGGGTGTCCTCCGTCCGACAATCGTCAAGACCAGTCATCTGGTGGAGTCTATACTCCAACCGATGACTGTTTTTTGCTGGTCATCGGTGTGTGTCCGTTGAGGACCGGAGATCGGATGGAGAAAAAACTCCCTTGGATAGGTAGTTTTTCACGGGTGGGGTGTTTCATTGGGGGGCACAGGGGGACAGGGGGCGGCTGAGGCTAGTATTTTTTTTTGATGTAAGGTAAAATGATGTGTTGTATCTTTTTCATGTTGCATTGTGGGAATTTCCCTGGAGGATCGGTCAAAAAAAGCAGAAGTGGGAAAATATTTTGGACGATCCGCAAAAAATTCTATTGTTTGGCGCGATGGCGCGATGGCGCGGTCGTTGTCGTCTGTGGGCTTCCGTATTGAAGACTGAATTTCTGCTTCCTGATAAATATAATATGTGAAAAAGATCGTACGGATAATGGACTTTTTAACTGTGTGCGGATGAGCGGCGCCAAATCTAAACCTGAGGCCCTGGGACTACATGGACCACATGAGCAAACTCAAAAGAAGCTTCACAAAGATGAAATGCAAAAGGTGTAAACTGCTCACTGTCAAGCCGGCTTTGCGCTCATCTGTCTGTTGTGCATCGCTGCTTGGACTGCCGTCTCCGGGCACTTACAAATGCAATCAGAGACGGGTTGCGTCCAGCCTATCACCGATTCGCCCGGCAGTTCACCCTACGGGTATGGCCTGGCTTGGCTAGCTGCTCAGCAGGTCGGATCTGGCGGCCGCAGGCCCAGTCTTAGATCACCTCAATAGTAGGAGGTAAATGCAAGCCCAAGTGTAATGATCAGAATGTTATAGCGAGAGTATGTGTGTAAAATGAGAATAGAAAATTCCCCCAAGGGAATACTACATTTCATAGCATGAAAGATACTTATAGTTTTGAAGTATGTACATATGTATGTTGATGAGAAAATATGTATAAAACTATCATGAGAAAATATAAATATACAACAAAATGATTTGAAATATGTGTTTGGATTCATAACACATACTATAAACATAACATTCCCCCCCTCATCAACACCAAAAGAAAAAAGATGAGAGAGAAAGAGAAATAAAAGAGATAGACAAAAAAGAAATGATGAGAGAGAAAGAGAAAAAAATATGAGAGAGTATTGAAAAGTTGAAGAAGTTCCAAAAATAAAAAATGGTAGTGGAAGATACGAAAAATAAAGAATAAAGTAAAAATAAAAATAAAAATAAAAATAAAATAAAATTGGATTGGGAGGTCGACTCCCAATCCCCCAGGGGGAATTGGAAAGACGACTCCCGTCCGACGACCCCTCGACCAAAATGGGAGTCGCCGTCAAATTTTTGGGAGTCGTTTTTCCAACCCCCTAAAAATAAAAATAAAAATAAAAATAAAAATAAAAATAAAAATCAAAATAGGAATAAGAGTAAGAATAAGAATAAAGATAAAAATGAAAATAAAAACAAAAGTACAGGAATATTATTGATGACCCATCCGGATTGGGAGCAACAGTATGCCAGTGGAACTGTAAAAAATAACCCAATGATGGTTAGCTGCTGTTGAACCAATCAATCCTCTGGGGATGTTGTGTGTTCAGGAGGGAGACGAACAATCGCGGGGGGCATTGTGGAAAGTAAGGCGCGCCCTAGAGGATTTCTTGCACTTCTCCGCTCCGCAACACGTCTTACTCCCGGTTTGTTGTCCGAGGTAACTTGCTTGATGGTCTTGTAGGTAGGTAAAATAACACTCTCTATTGTTCTTGTAAGTAGGTAATACTCTAACTCTAATCTATCTCTAACAATTCTTTAGGCTAATACACAATTCACTCCTAAGTCACTCTGTTTTTCTGATATGTTCTGAGTCATAAGTCCCCCTCCTCTCTCCCTTCTTCTGCCTCGAACTCCACTCCTCCCAAGTATCCCACACTCCAGTCCCTCCATGCTTCCCGCGATGTCATCCGCTGTCACCCCCTCGGACTCCGCATGTCACCCCTCCGACGCCTGTCGGTCCAGGTACTCCTCCGGCCGCTCATAAGCAAGTCTCCCACCGCCGCTTCCGCCTCTGGTCCGCTCCGAACCCCGCTTCCGCCTCTCGGTGCTCCCCCGC